CCCAGGCCGGCCCGCGCCCCTCCCGAGGGCCCCCTCCACCGCGGCCCGGGCGGGCGGCCGGTGTCCGGTGTCCGGTATCGGTGTTCGGTGTCTGGAGCCGCCGGCGGGTGAGAGGCCGGGGCGTGTGGCCGCGGTAACGGGGAGTCCCGAGGGGGAGCTTAGGCCGCAGCGCACTCGGGAGGTCTGGGGGCAATTCTGGGGCGCCGGGCGGGCCTCCGTGTGCCTGAGGGGTGTGCGTGCGCACGTCACTGAGCCCGGGGCGGGCCGGAGGTGGCCGCGTGGGAGGGTCGGGCTAGCCTAGAACTTCTGGACTCTAGCGGAACAGCCCCGGCGCCCCGCGGGTCTCGCGTCTGTCCCGGCCTCCGGGGCTCCTGCACGCCCACCCTCCCGCCGGCCCGCGACGGGCGACCCCGCCTGCGCCCTCGCAGCGACTGCACCCGCGGACGAGCGCTCCCACGCACGTGGGGTAGGGCCGTGCGGACCTCCCTCGCCCCAGACCTTCTGGGAGAGGCCCGGGAACCGGTTTCCCAGCGCGCCGGCACGCAGGGCTGCCCTGTGGGGTTCGGGCGCCGCGGGGGGGGGGGTGGTGTTCGGCTTCAGGGCCGCGCGTCGCCGCCCGCCCGCTGGAAGGTAGACCCAGACGGTGGCCCCAGGCAACCCGGCGACGGGCTTCTTCAGCCAGGTGGGCACCCCTGCCCGCCCCTGCCCTCGGGGTTCACGCGGGCGCCTGAAGGGGTGGGCGTGGAGATGCTAGTTTGTCGGTTTTCTGAGTTGTCATTCCCTTCGCAGGGGTCACAGAAAAGAAGCAATGCATCTCTCTCTAAACTTAGGCTCCTCAGCTCCTAAAAGGTGTTTTGTTTTGTTTTTTTGAAGTAAACTCTACCCCGAGGTCGGCTCGAACTCAGGACAAGGAGATCGAGAGTTGGGTGCTCTACCGACTGAGCCAGCCAGGCACCCCTCTAAACGGCTTTTGATTGCCTGCTTACTAGAAACAACTTGAAGCTTTTAAAAGTGAATAAATAGGGGCGCCTGGGTGGCTCAGTCGTTAAGCGTCTGCCTTCGGCTCAGGTTATGATCCCGGGGTCCTGGGATCGAGCCCCGCATTGGGCTCCCTGCTCGGCGGGAAGCCTGCTTCTCCCTCTCCCACTCCCCCTGCTGGTGTTCCCTCTCTCACTGTGTCTCTCTCTGTCAAATAAATAAATAAAATCTTAAAAAATAAAAGTGAATAAATAAATGAAAGGCATATGTGGGCATAGATTTGGTACATGATTGGAATTTTCTAGATAAATCCGTATGTACAGTAACTTCAAATTTCTGAAGAATGGTATATATGTACAAAACTTATCAAATTGCTGTCACCTCTGGTAAATTCATTTTATCCTCAAAAATAGCCCTTTTGCAGATAAACTTCATTAGGTAAAGTTGAATAAGATAACTGAAAGTATGAAAATAGTTGGCCATTTTAAAAGAAGTAGAATTCAAACTATATTCTTTTTTTTAAGATTTTTATTATTTATTTATTTACTTATTTGGGAGAGAGAGAGCGAGTGGGGGGGAGGAGCAGAGGGAGAGGGACAAGTAGACTCCATGGTCAGTGCAGAACCAGAGGTAAGGGCTGGATCCCACCACCTTGAGATCCTGAGCCAAGCCAAGAGTGGGCTGCTTAACTGACTGAGCCACCCAGGCGCCCCCAAACTATATTCTTAATATTAAGGTCTTACTGTCCATATACATTATTGCTATGGTTTAGGCTTTATCTCAGGCTTTTCCTCCCCTAAGTTCTCAGAGTCATTAAAAGCACAACTTTTATTTTGTTGAGCAGGGCTATGGAAGATGTGAGAATCAGGCCAAATCTGTGGTATCCTGGAAAACAACTAATCCTATCACCCTTTAGAAATAAATAGCAGATGTGGACTTGTCGCTTGTCATTTCTCTTTTTTTAAGTAAGGTGCTATACAAGAAGAAAACCGAGTTAGCTTTTCCTTTTTTTTGATCTTGAATAACTGGAAGTTTGCTGCACTCAGTTTGTTAGATGGGGATAGTCATTCTAAGTTTGAATCGATGTCAGTGGTTGTCCTGTGAGGGAGTGAAAGTGGGAAAAACCCTGGTTAGTTTCCTTCTTCCTATTTCCTCTACCCTGGCTCCACTTGTCTGTGCAACTTCACATAGACTCTATGACATAGTCTTCAAATTACAAAGATGTATAGGTAGGCCCTCATTTCACAGATGAGAAAACAGAGTAGTGAAATGACAGCTGAAAGTCATGCCGCTCTTGGATGGGAGTCATACAGCTCTTGAGAAGCCCACGTTGGGGTCCTTGCTGGGTGTTCTGTGAGCACCCTGTGCTGTTTGAGTTTTCCATCTTCGAGCGTAAGGGAGGAAGGAGTTAATTTAGACCAGCTGGGAATCAACAGCCTTAGAATAGCATGCATAGGGCGCCTGGGTGGCTTAGTTGTTTGAGCGACTGCCTTTGGCTCAGGTCATGATCCTGGAGTCCCAGGATCGAGTCCCGCATCGGGCTCCCTGCTCGGCAGGGAGCCTGCTTCTCCCTCTGACTCTCCCCCTCTCATGCTTGCTCTCTATCACTATCTCTCTCAATAAATAAATAAAAATCTTTAACAAAAAAAAAGAATAGCATGCATATTATTCAGCTGCCTGACCTCAAGGTAGTTGCCAGCCAGGTATTCTCTGAGGACACAGGGAAGCCAGTGTCTTTCCTCCAAGATCTAGTAGTTAACTTTAATGCTAAAAATCCATGTTTGCTAGAAAAGGCAAAACAAACCCAAATTAAAACTGTGAAAGAGCTTGAGTATCTCATCACAGAGGTACCATGGAACTCTTCACACCTGTGAGAGGCTGGACCATTTATGCTGCTCCTAGCGGCTGTGAGAGAGGAAACTGAGAACACTAAGTGCCCGGTGAATAAAGCAGGCAAACAACATCCACGCCTGGGCCACCATGACAGTTCCCTGCTGCCCTTCCTGGGGGGGTGGGGGGAGGTTTTTTCGATATCTGGTCTCCCCTCAGCTTATCTACAGTACCTAGATAAGGCTTCTGCCCCTCAGAGGCATTATGTCATGCACCTTCAAGTCAGCATTTATGTTGCTGCAAAAATTTGCTGGTCTTCATTCTGAAATTTCACATATGGTACCATGTCCTGGGATGTGCTGATTCTGGGCTTACAAAGAAGCTCTACTATACTAGTGGAGTCAGTAGAGCTGACTTAGAGCCAACTGCCCAGCTCTGCCACTTTCCATCTTCTTCATCTGTGAAACAGGGATAGGGAGGGGCTGAATCCCAAGGGTAATTGTGAAAATGAATTAAAACACGCAAGGTGCTTAAGGTAGTCCTGGCACAGCGTGTGCAAGCTCTTATTGTCAGGAGTACTCTGGGGTGGAGAAAAGGAACAATGTGAATTTGGCACTTTCAGGGTTTCGGTTTTTAGGCCACACCATCACTGTTGCTAAGATTCACCCCACTCAAAATGGGGAACGGAACACAAAACCTGAGGCTTCACTGGCTTCCTCCTTTTCTACCATGTTTTATTTCTGTGAAAGCCAATCATTGGAGTCAGGGAATGTGCCAACATAAGGACATTTACTGGAACATCAGGGAGTCATTCACTTTGGTTTTTTTACCACTCAGAACACTGGAGTCAAGTGTGCTGAGGAAACAAATCCTTCCTGTGGTTCCTGTGAAGACAGAGCTCAGCCTCTGGCAAACTCTCCTTTAGTGGAGATTTAGTTGGCCCTGCCCCTCAAGAAGGTTGTCAGGACCCAAGAGTCAAAAAAGCATTACAGGACGTCAATTCTTTGGCTGGTATAGCCTTTGAGGGTCATCTTTCAAAGCAAAATACAAACGTAGGAAGGGAGCCTGGGAGGGACATGACTGACTGAGAGTCAAACACTGCTTTTAATTGTTTTTAAAACTTTTCTCTTTTTTCTTTTAATTTTTTTAGATGGGGAGGGATAACAGGAGAGGGAGAGAGAGAATCTTAAGCAGGATCCATCCTCAGTGTGGAGCCCCACTTGGGGCTCGATCTCATGACCCTGAGATCATGACCTGAGCAGAAATTAAGAGTCCAACACTTAACCAGCAGTGCCACCCCTAAAAATTTTCTCTTAATATTGTTTTCCATTTGAGTTCCAGTAGTTTGAATGCTGCAGGAGATTATAGGATGCAGTTAGCAAGAATAGTTGTAGCCTCAATAAAGGTCCCAGCTACACAATGGATAGAGAATTTAACTATGTGCTGTGTATGCAAACATTCTGGGGTACCCTGACTGTTGAACATGCTTGTGTAAATGAAGAAACAGCTTTGCAGGGAAGAAGAAGAAGAAGAGGGGAAGCTGCAGGGGACTCCCAGGGAGCTTTACAGTCTGGCCCGTGGAAATGACAAGGTGAAGGAACTAAGAGCAGCCAAGGTATGACTAAGTGATAGTCTGAAGTTTATGAGTGTTTGCACTTAGTTTGGCGAAACAAGGTATTTGAGAGGCATGGCTAGATGGTGAGATTATTTGAGCATTGTGCGCACTAAATTACTAGTCAACTTCTTAAACATAGGTGATCCTGAAAAGTCGCAGGAAGTAAGCTTTTTTGTGTATCCTGTTATATTGAAAAAAAAATTAAAAGTCTTAAAAAAAATCAACCAAACAGAAATGCGTAAATGAGGGAAACCCCAGTGGAATTGTCCCTCTCTCCCAACCACTGTGAACCCACTTGTGAGTGCGTGAGTCTGTGGCTTCTTGTTAAAGGAGCCCTCTAAGAAACTCTTTTGTATAGCAGGGATCCTTTGTAACAAACCTCGTTACCTCTTCATTCCCCCAGTTTTTCTGGTCTGTAAATTTAGATTTTATTAAATTAGATATATGAACAGGTACATTTCAAACCTGGTGACCTTCCAGAGTGTACACAAATGTTTTCTCCTGTACCTACACTATTATGGTTCTGGTAGGTTGTCTGGAAATTGCCTTGTCCTTCTTAGAAGTAGCACTAAAGGGGAAATGGGAAAACTGCATTGTGGTCTAATTTCTATTTCTTCTTTTTCCTTCCTTGAGGATGACCCCATTTTGGTTTGGTTTGGGGTCGGTAATTCTGTGAAATCTCAAAAACAGTATTTTCTTTTGAAATAAGTTGTTTGGAGAGAACCGTTTAATTTCTTCCCGTGCCTCTTTTTTCTTTTATTCTTTTCTCAGCCATACAGTTGGTGGTTAGGCTCTGAGGTAATAATACGTTTGCTTAGTTGGGAGAAGGCCAAACTTCTGTTAATTTTTTTTGTTTCCCTGAGATTGACCTGTAAAAAGTTAGGGTTTGTTTTGTTTTGTTGATAAAGTGTCTGGAAATTACGGGATAGGGGTTACACAAACTCTTAACAAAGCATGCCTCAGCTTTTCTTCTTCTTTCACCTGAAATGAAAAGTGATACTGTATTTCCTCCAAGCTTAATTCATGAGCCTGCCCCTGCCTGGCGTCTACATTTTAACACTGCCAGCTTTTTGCCTGTTGCCCTTTGCAGGTTCACGAACAGCGTTTTGGACCGTATCTTTGCTGCCAGGAACCAAGAGCCGGTTTGCTGAATTATCGTCCCAGTCACTAGGATTGCTGCGAATCTCTGGGAAGGTCTGCGGGTATGTCCACGTGCCAACAAGGCACACCTGGAAGCCATTTTCAAGAACTTTTGTCACAGGTGTAAAAGTCTCCAGGCCTGCAAAGATGCTGAAACAGATACTATCAGAGATGTACATAGATCCCGATCTACTGGCAGAGCTTAGCGAAGAACAGAAACAGATCCTGTTCTTCAAGATGAGGGAGGAACAGATCCGCCGATGGAAAGAAAGAGAAGCAGCAATGGAAAAAAAAGAGTCCTTGCCAGTGACGTCCAGGCCAAAGAAAGGTAAACTTACCTGTGTCTCTTCTGTGAATGTGTTAGTACCGTGGCTCCCGGCTTGCTTTAATAGTTCGCACTAGTCAGAAGCAAGTCAGGTGCAAGTTCCAGTTTGGTAGATGGACCCTAAATGTTGTTGAGATTCTAATAGTTCAATTTATCAGCTTGAAGTTTATACTTACCTGCACATACCCACACATGCACAGCATTTACCATGAACTTGTGTGGCCGTGAAGCAGATCTCTTACTTGAAACCAGACTGACCTTAAGCTGAAGTAGAAAGTCACCTGTACAGTTTGATTTGAGGGGTCCTAAGGAAGGGCTTCTCTCCCACTTATTGTCACTGGGGTCTGTGTCCTACTACCAGCAAAGGAAGGCATTGTATGAGCATTTTTATAGCAATTATGTTTACATTTCTTAGACTTTAAGAGATTTTTCTTTGCATTATCTTTTTTTAGGGAAACTCCCTCTTAAAATGCAAATACTGCGGGGCACCTGGGTGGCTCAGATGGTTAAGTGTCTGCCTTCGGCTCAGGTCATGATCCCAGGGTCCTGGGATCGAGCCCCACATCGGGCTCCTGGCTCAGCAAGGAGTCTGCTTCTCCCTCTCCCTCTGCCTCTCTCCCTGCTCATGCTCTCTCTCTATCTCTGTGTCTCAAATGAATAAATAAAATCTTTAAAAAAAAAAATGCAAATACTGCTGTGGGTGGGGGGGAAGTCATACTACACATTTTTTTTTAAGTAATCTCTATGCCCAACGTGGGGCTCAAACTCATGACCCCGACATCAAGAGTCGCATGTTCTACCGACTGAGCCAGCCAGGCGCCTCCATACTACACATTTTTTTAATGTGAGTTAATTTTTCAGCTGTACTTCTTCCTGATCCAAGGAATCCCTGATTGCTTGAGAGATCCTTTTGAGACCATGAGGGAGAAATTCTTGTACATCAAGATTTAAAGCATATACACACGCAGACGTAGAAAAGCATACATTAACCACCTTTGCTCTTCGCCCTCCCCCAGCACAAATTCTGTCATGGATGAATATCTAAGTTGTTTAAAAAAACAGTTTTCAAGGTCACCCACAGAGGCATTCAAGACCAATTTCTCCTCATTTCTCATTAAGCCAGGAAAAATAAAATCACTCAGGGTTTCAGAGATGGAGAAAATGAATCTCACTTGCATGCTGGTATATACAGACTCAAAAAGGAAGTCAGTTTAGTGACCTTTACCTTATACTGCCTTTATTTAAAACCTTTCCAATTAAGCCTTTATAATGATATGGAATAAATATGAATATCTCATTTATTACTATTATCAATAACAGCTATTTGTTAAAAACGTGTTTTATCAGACACTATGCAAAGCACTTTTATATACAGTATGTCTCATCTTCATAAAACTTCTGCAAAGTGGTATTGTCTGTTTTAGAGGTGGAGAAACTTAGAATCAGCGAAGTTAAGTATTATATGCACAGTCACACCACCAGTAGGTACCCAGATTTTTTGGATTTCACAGTACTGTATACGACCCAAAATAGAATTTTTCCTTCAGTAAGTAACATGTCCAAACTGAAGCATGGCCCTTTTACCTTTCTTAACTGGCTTATACATCTCCCTGCATTCTTGAGCCAGAGTTTATCAGATAGAGCTGGACCTCTCTGGGCACCATTATTCACTGTGAAGAGAGCACACTGATGTGTTGTGTAACTTTGGGGCTAGTGAGAGCTGAAGGGTTCTTGCCCCTAATGTCAGTGGCCCAGACACTTTCTAAGATTTTGGGGTTCTCACGTCTGCTGAAGTGGTCTCCTTGTGACTACTTAAGACAGTGATTTCATTTCTTTGCTTAAATTCTTTTTTTGCAGAGTTTGAATCTACCTCTTAGAAAATCTATATTATTTTATTAAATGATCATTTAAAAAGTATGTTAATATATGCAGTGAACGTTCTGTCAGTGTTTCATGCCAAAAGTTTATTACTCCCTTAAATTTAACACTTGGAAAAATACATTTTACACTAAGTTAATTCTCTCTTGTGACTACAGAAAAAGAAAAACTTTGAGATTCTTTCCCAACTTCCTCTAATAGCACTTCTCCATCTTTCATCTTCTTCTGCCTTTGACGACGAGAAAGCCAAGATAGTACAAGGCAGTGTTACACCTGGTGCTCCCCAGGAGTGTATCTGTGCTGCGGGCCTACTGTGTGCTTCTGCTCTTTTTGGGCCTGTGCTCCTAGCACCACCACCCCCACACCCACCCAGCTTGTACCCCGCTGACTTTAGTGCTGCTTTTTCTTAGCAGTTCTTAGCCAGACTGCAGCTTTGGAAATTGTCCTTTTCTTGGCTCTTTAAATATATCTTATGCCGTCCCTCCCCCTCATTCCTTCGCATCATTTTAGCTCATTACTTGGCAGTTCTTTCATTGTCATCTGGTCATTTTCTTCTCTATACAGTCCGCTGTGGTGAGTTTTCAGAGCATCACTAAAATGTTAGGATATTGTGTATACCAGGAACATTTTAGCAGTCTTATGGCTAAAGTAGAAAGGGCTGAAAAGCAATTAGAAATATGGATTTAACTTAGTAATAGATCAGAAAAGCATTTTAAAATGTCATGGGAAAATGTGATTTTTAGAGAGGGAGAGAATTATGTACCTTGTCTGCCTGCTGGGGGACACGTAATTGGAGGTCTAGAGCTCTGTGTGCAGGATGGTAGCCCCTAGCCACGTACGGCTGTTGAGCACATGAAATGAGAATGGTCTGGATTGAGTGTGTTAGAAGTGTAAATTACCAGATTTCAAAGACTTGATATGAAGAATAATGTAAAATACCACGTTAATAATTTTATATTCATTATATATTGACATGATAATCTTTTGGATAACATGGGCAAAATAAAATTTATTAACATTAATTTCACCTCTTTCTTTTGCTCTTGTAATGGGGCTACTAGAAAATGTATAATTACAGACGTAGCTCACATTTGGACAGTGCTGCTCTAGACTATAAAAATAGCACCACTGAGCTGATGGTGTATCAGACCTGAGCTCAGTGCTTAAATGTATTATCTCATTAAATAATCACAGCCAAGCCGAAGCTGCATTACTGTTCACATTTTATAGCTGGAGGAAAGTGAGACTGGGACATTAACTGGCTTGCCCAGGGCAACAGCTAGTAAGTGATAGAGCTGCAATCGACCCTGAGTCTGACTCTCCCAAAGCAGGTGCTGTTAACGAACATGCTACATGTCCAGCTTACCTGGAGCTTAAGACATTATTTTTGTCTGCAGGTGCCTTGCACACATCTAAGACGTATGCTTGCGTCAGGGCCCTGCCTTTGTTCTGTGTGATTTCTTTCTGGTAACACAAACAGTAGAGGCCTTCACTAAGTAGAGGATTGCCCAGCACTTGTTTCATTGGGCCTCCAAGCAGACAGAAAGCTAAGCAGTAGGCTGGGATCTGGTTGCTGTGTGTGGTGCAGGAGGGGCTGTGTGTACCCTTGAAATGGACTTGGATTTGTGAAACTTCATTTGCTGCATTCTCGTTGCTACCAGGTGAACAAGTTCCCTTATGCAGAGCCTTCCCTTTTTCATGAAATGACCAGAAACCTGCAGTGGCCCTTCCTCCCCTCCCTTCATGCTTGAAGTCTCTGCAGTGACCTCCACTGATGGATTCAGTTCTGATCTAGTTGACTCCTCAGCCTCATCGGATTCTGGAGTTGCCTCTCTGAATCTCTTTCTTGATGTCCTGGGTCTCTTGCTTTCTCCATAATGGTCTCTTTTTTATCTCTACCTGACTCCTGAATGTCCATATTCCCCCAGGGTGCCTCGCTCTGCACTCCTGGCTTGTAACCTGGAGGTGGGGTTGACAGGCTCATAGACTCCTTTGATAATTTAGTGAGAACTTGGATCAGGGAAATGCACACAGACAACATTTTGTGTATAGTTTTACAATGTTCACAGGCTCCCTAAATCTTGTTCACAGACTCTCAGGTTCACAACTTCTCTGTGGTTAAGGTCTAGGTTTAGGTTAAGGTCTCTGTATTTTCTCCCTGGGGCACCACTTCTACCTTTTTTTTAGAGAGAGAGAGCATGAGTGGTGGCAGGCTGCAGGGGGTTGGGGGTTTGCAGTGGGCAGAAGGAGAGGGTAAGGGAGAATCCCAAGCAAGCTCTGTGCTCAGTTTGGAGCCGGACACAAGCCTACGACCACGACCCTGAGATCACGACCTGAGCCAAAATCAAGAGTCAGAGGACCAACCGACTGAGCCACCCCGGAGGCCCCCGCTTCTACCTTTTAGGGTTAAATACCACCTATATGCCAGCGATGCTTAAACCCATACTGCCAAGCCTAGCCTCTCACCTGCTTTGGCCTCAGTGGCCATTCCCTAATGAGTACTCCCAGTCAGATGACCCATAAGCTCATCAGTGTCACCTCAGTCCTCCTCACCACCCCCAGGCCTGACCCTGCCTCTCATTCTCTGTTATAATCAGTGGCACTGCTTTTTCCCTTATCACTGCAGCCAGAAACCTGGGAGCCACACTGCTAGTCACTGAACCCTATAGATTTTACTTCATCTGTTCCTTTGCCTAGAGCTTTTCCCTTCCCAAGGGGCTGGTCTGTTAGGATGTGCCAGCCGTAAGCATTATATTTATGCTATTTCATGTAAACCTCACAAGAACCTGGGATGGTACATGTTGTCACCTTTCTTCTTACAAATAAGGAGACAAACAGAGAGTCATTTGTATGGTCACTGGTAGAGCCAGGATTTGAATCCGGGTCCAGATCTACTCCAAGTCTGTTCTGAATCACTGGTTCTGGCCCTGTCTCCTGTCCCCCTAACTCGGGGCTTAGTAGTTTAGCTGGGCTTATTTTCTTCCACGGTGAGCACCCACCTGTGGGTAATTACTGATCTCCTCTTCCCGTTCAGCTTCCTGAGTCCCTGGATGAAGCTGGTCTCCTCTCCTGACTCGAGTTCTCACTTGTCTACAGCACCATCTGCTTTCCTGGGCTATAGCCCA